GTCGTGCGACAAGTTTGGCGGCTCTTTTCATTTCTGTTTTGATTGGACCGCCATATTCTAGTGACGGTTATTTTTAGTTGACAACTGTATATTTCGATTGTGAGTAAAACTCGTTTTTGTATATAATTCTTCGAATTCTATTTCGGTATTCTGTACCGGTGCCTTTATTAGAAAGAGCGTTTGTGCACGTATTGTACACTGTGTATACAAAATACAATGCGAAAATTCTTTATTGTACACCAAAAATATATTTATTTGTTGTTAGTTTGTTTAAGAGTATTTTCGGTTCAATTAAAGGAGTCACCACACTTATTAACGCGAAATCGGCGTGAGTCCATGCCATAAGAGCGAAAAATAAGTTGCAGGTTACGCTTCCGCACAGACCGCCTACGCACAACGCATAACGTCTTTTTCGGTCTTTTACAAAGACAAAGATTTATTTTATGATACCTAGCGAAGGGACGAACAAGTCGCGCACTGATGGTAAGCGACACGCCTGTCCATAACAGTTGCAGTGCCACTCAGAGCTTTACAACACAAATACCTCAGGAGCACTGCCACTGCGCCCGTCACCCTGAGGCATAGTTGATAAGTCTCGCGTGCCCCTTTAAAACCGGATCGCAGTAATGCTCATATTACTGTTTGGCTGTAGAAATAAGTAAGGTGGCAGTACTTTCTTGGACGAACTCTTCCACAAGGAGCTCTACTGCTACTATACTTTTTGACCTGCTTAATGCGATTCCGGGTCGATATGTGTGGCGATTCTCATATACACTAATGATTTTTTATGATGGTTGGAAGAGACTGCTGTTTAGCGACAAGGCCGCCGATTGTACCTTTCACTATGTTTTGTATTGTCACTGTTTATGTTGTATGTAATGAAGCTTATTCTGTTCTTTTTTTTTAAATGGTTTTTTTAGGCATCGAAACCAGAACTTACCTTACGTATCGCAGTACCCTAAACTACGTCTTTGTTTGGTATTAGAAACGCTCCAAGGCCCCAATTCTGCTAATTATAAATCACCTCAGTTGTGTATAGATAGATTGTCAATGGTTGGCTTTTGTACGTTTAGTATTCTGCTAAACGTTAAGAGTAGTGGCTAGCCATCGATCTATTAGTCAACTGCTATTGCAATTTTTTAGTACTCTGCTTTCAAAGGCGTGTCGGTGGCATATCGATAGCGTTGTGCACTAATTTGAAAAGTAAATTGCTGCTTAAAGGAGATAAAAATTAAGATATACATAGTAATTTCCATTGCAGTTTTAGTAAAGCAACATCGATCGTTAGTGATTGAATGAATGAATGCCATCACTGCCATCCCACTGACACTCTGTTGAGACTCAACTGCCATTGCAAGTAGATTATAGCAGAATTGCAAATATTATCATAATTGCAATATAATATCAGTGGAGTCTCTGTGGAATTACAATGGCCAACGGTTTCGCATCTCTGTCTTTCTGGGTTTCTATTTCATTGAATATAAGGTACAAAATTCTTCATTCTTTTCTTTGCAAACTCAATACTCGTTTTTGTTTATTGTCTCTTTCTTTCTTCTGGTATTCCTGTACGATCGTATCTTGATAGTAATATTGTTGCTACGTCGTCTATATACGTGACATTTGACTAGTATTACTAAAGAAATCGTGGTTGCCTAATGGTTTGACCTACCGTGTCTCAAGGAGAGGTCGTGGGTTTCAATCCGTAGTACGGGTGACAGAGGAAACCAAACTTTCTTCCGTATAGCACAAGTTTATTGCTTGATATAGTCGGTACAACAAGTATTACAATATAACAGTATAACGTACAGTAGTAAACTATTCCCACTAGACAACACGTAACGAAAGTCCCATACACCGTTCTACGTAGGAAGCGACTCTGGGTGCAACCGCTGGTGTACAATACCCTTAAGTGACTAGCGGTAGGTAACGCTGTTCCAGATACGGAAGCAGTACCAGATGCGTACGAGGTATGCAGTAGGCACTTCAGATAAGTTCAAATAGCCGACAATAACCATTCCGCGAGGGAAAAATCTTAACATCGCGATGCAGAATTTGCTATTTCGACGCCAATGTCATCTAGCGGTGCGTGGCGGAACTAATTTGTGTTGTTGCATGTTATGTGATTTTACAATAAAAAATTTACCATGAGCTTTTCGGTGAAGAAAAACGTCTCGATGAAACCTGCACTTCAAAGAAGGTTCACAGTCTTCGGAAAATTTGCAGAATTGAACCCGAGATCTAGTCCACTGGGTATTTTTTCGTCCGAATGAATCCGAGGTAAGCACGAAAGCATGAAGGAATCTGACCCCTCCCTTAAGGTGGGTATTAGGTTAGGGTGGTCGTCCACAATAAATGGAATTCTATGTTAATGCAATAAGGATATTGTCATAATGAAATATTCGAATGTTGTGGCGTTTCTTCAGATAACTAGTTTTCTTATTATTGTTTCAGTGAAAACGAACATAGGTTCTCACGTCTAATTACGTTTGTAATTATTACCGTTAAAATTGACTAAATAACTATCACCGCCACCATATCATTTTCAAATTCAATTATCAAATTACTCAAACTTAGTTGTTAAATCACACTCAAAAAAGGGTTTTTTTTTTTAATAACGCCGCGTGATTGGACTAACAAGTCGTGCATCTGGTGGTAAGAGACGGCAGTTGCACTGCCACCTGCTCCAGAAACAGGCAGTCAAAGATGTAATGCTACTGTTGTAGTCGACTCCAATATGATATTGTTAAAAAACAATAATCATGTTACACCTTGTTTAGTCTCTTGAAGTGCATATGAGTATAGCTTGAATACACAGAACAATAAAAACAGTTGAAGTAGTTTGTTAACGTCTGACGCGTGCCAACTATAGGTCTCTTTTTCATACGTTCGTGCAAATTATCTAAAATCCTAGAAAAATTCCTTATTGTGCTGTTTTGAAGTGCAAAAATATTAACCGTGCTTGTATTTCATATCATCGGAAAGTTTCATTTTAATTAGTTTTCATTTTTCTGTATCGAAATATTTGTTTTGTTACAAGAAACGAAAGGAAAACTTACACTTCGCTTATAAGTCGCTTCTTATTTGGAGAACTAAATTAATAACTCCTATTCGTCGTCGTTCAGCAATTAACCGCTAGATGGCAGCATGTTAATTGATATTTCAATATAATATGAAAACGTCGTAACTTGCAATAATAGGTAATGAACTTTCAACGATATGCCAACAGAATAAAGTTTAAATTATAATAACAGTCCAGAATTTGTTATAATTATTAATGCAAAGAACGTACACTCAGAAAAAATTCCTACAATCCGGCCGGATTCGAACCGACGTCTTATAGCATACCATGCTAGAGCGTGATAGAGCGAACCTAACGAATTTTTCTTTGTGCTTGTTGTCATGTGTTTAGTCTTTAGCGCTATCTGTAAGAAATCTATGAAAGCATTTCGTCACCCAGTTACCAGCGTCGTTCCGTGGCTTAGTTGGTATAGCGTCTGCCACGGTATACTAGAAGACGTCGGTTCGAATCCGCCGGATCGAAGGAATTTTTTCGCAGTGATCGATCTTTGTATTAATAATTTTAACAAACTAGTGGAGTAATTTCACATAACATATAATTGAATATTAATTCTATAAAAAATTAAATGCAGTGAATAGCGATATTTCTAGCCGGAGCCGGCAACAAGACACGATGACAAGCACATACAAAAATTCGTAAGGACCGCTGGTTCGCTCCGTGGCTTAGTTGGCACACCGTCTGACACGGTTTGCTAGAAGACATTGGTTCGAATCCAGCCGGATCAAAGGAATTTTATCCTAGAAGGGTACCTCAGTACTATTCCCATTTAAATTTGAACATTCCACCTGTAAGGGTGGCAAACTAGGGGATACATCCGGTTTTGCGCACTTTCCGTTAACCGATCTCAATCAAACTTAGCAAGTAGTTGTGATTACAATAAAAAAAAGTCGGTAAGCTAACTTTTGAGGACGGTTTTACTTAATAAAAAAGTTATAATCCTAATACAACCCCTTGTTTTTTGATACGTGATTAATCAAAGTTTTTGTTTATATCTTACAAAATTTAAATCTTGGTTATTTAACACACAAAATTTAACTACAATCTTTACTGCAATCTGGATTCTTTAATAGCGTGATCTTCGCCGAAATCGATAGTTAAAATAACATGTTAGAGTTAGCCTGAGTACGGTCTATTATTATTTATTACCTTACTCTTGAAAATCGATTGATTAGGAAGGCACCACACTTAACAGTTAGCCCATATAGTCCCGCTGCTGGGCACAGGCCTCCCCTGATCTCCCCAATTTAATTTGGTTTGACCAAAGAGGAAGAAAACTTTAGTTATTCATTAAATATTTTTTTACATCTTCATGACGTGTTAAGGGCGTACTGTAATAATATGTCAATATTTAATTAAATCTATTAGACCAAATTTCTTTCTTTTCTTTCATAAAATTCTATTGACATACCAATAACATAGTATTATAATAAATGTTAATGACTCTGTGCTACTATTAGAATTGCTTTCAAATTGTTAAATTATAAAATATAGATGACCATTATTTGCATGCCAATTTATTACAATAGTGTTGTAACTCAAAATATGTGAAATTCAAGATTGTACTATTTCTGAACGTAAAAGTTTCTCTACACGTCAGCAAAATTGTCGTTAGAATATTGTTAGAAACCATTAAAATATATCTACTTAACCCAGAATGAGACAAACGTTTTGTGAGATACTTCTGGACAAAACAGTTACTCAAAAATATGAATTTATTTTTTAAATATACTTCTTATTGGCAAGTAGGAGTTGTTTAGATGTCTAATAAATTTTAACCCATTCATAAATTCATAAATTATTATAATAATCTTTCACGGGAACTGAGTAATTCGTTTTTCAGCTATTCTAAATAAATTCACTTTTTGAGTTAATACTTAGGTTAGGGAGAAAATGTGAACTAATATCCCGTCTTTTGTTTCAGGGAGAAAAAGACAACGGCAAAAGCTGTATACTTTCCTGCGAGAAAAGGAAGGCGGATGATACCGATATTAACAAGGACTTGAAGAAGGTTAGTCGCTTTATTGTAATATTTTATTATTATTGAATATCATAATGTTTTACTACCATGTTATAATTATACTTGTGAAAATATGCCACTATAGTCTCTCTTTTTTGAAGACGGAGTAAAATGATATTTGTAAGGTTGCCAGTTTTCATACAATTTTAAATAGTCATGTATTTATCGACAGTATTATCGATAGATTGTGAAAGAATGCCAAAAACGTCTTAATTGTGAATGTTACGACGTTCTATTGATTAATAATTGCGTTATTGCATTCTTCATTCTTATTTTCACAGCTGACCTACTAGTATCAAAATAATTTTTATTCATGCACATTTTAACAAGAACGTGTGTATTTGATTATCTATATTGAGTTAAAATGAAAAACTTTAAAATATGTCTCCTCTTTGTATTTTTAATAAACATAGTTCTAAATGCAGTGTATGTATGAACTTACAAAAATTGACAATTCAAATCATTGACTTACAAATAAATGGACGACGGGTCTAATACAAAAACCACGAAAAAAATGTCCCAAGTCAACCTATTTGAAATTTAAATTGTAATGTCATCGCAGTATCGCGCTGTCAGTCGAACAAATGAAGACTAAAGCGGAGTTTGGCGCTCTGTATACGATTTTAGCGCCTTACAAGTGCGGACACTTTTTAGCGCGGACCCGACGTCCATATAATTGTAAGTCAATGATTCAAATGAACCTATGCCCAACAGTTGAACGAATAATGGGCCGATGATGGTTCAAATTAAACAAATTCGACTATTTATTGCATGCGTAATCAACATTCAATCGATAGTCGATAGAATATTTATCGACTGCAATCACTATCTACTTGTAAGCGGGCAACACTTTTGCGCGATGAACTGTCATTTTACTCCGTCTTCAAAAAAATACACTATAGTATGATGTTATTATTGATACAAAGATTGAACAGACACAAAGTAAAATTATTTCTATCCGACTGGACACGTACCACCGATTGTTGCCTCAAGGTGGCTACCGCTTTTCCAGCTAATAATAATCCTCCTCCTCCTTGCGTCGTATTCCTCATTACTGAGGGTCGTGACTTCCCCGCGGAAACAGTTTTTGTATGACGACGCTGTGCCATCTGCAGCGGTCTTTGGCATAGTGGAGCACATCATGGAGACCATCGGGCCATCTTGTGGGACAGCGACCCCTCGGATATTTACCGAGTTTAGTATTAGTGCTATTGTTACATTGTATAATCCCCTGTAAGAAGCCTCCTCGAGTGTAATGCGGTAGTCTGCTTCAAACGCGGTATAGCCTTTTGCTGGAGCGCATTTAAAACAAATTCCTAAGATATCTATCTGTACATGAGGCAATACATGACGCAATACGGGGTTTTCCCCTTCTACCGCCTGATATATCCTAATCTGTTAATATTGGGTATGGTGGGATACAACGAGCTATACGTGCGCAGGAACATAGCATTAGCAGTGCTACTAGCTGCTAGCAATCCGATGCTACTAGGGGTGTTAGGCTTATGTGTTCATGATAGGTACGTGGGGTGACGTCGCTGACCACCGCTAAAGGCGGTGCCGCGCGAAAGGACCAATCTCATGACGGAATATCCGCTGACGCGCACATTGCGCACCCTGAACGAAATATCGAATAAGATCGATCTGTTCGATCGTTCTCTGAGATAATTTATAAAGATAGCGCTTTATATCTTAAGTAACATTTAGTAATTTTTGCTGGTATATTGCGTTGGGTGGATAACCTGTAATAATATATTAGTTTTGGAATTAAACAAATAGAAAAATAAGTAATGAGTAATGTTCACATTACTGCTTTGCGGCGGAAATAGGTAAGGTGGCAGTACTTCTTTGGTCCTTCCATTACTGGACGAACTCTCTCACAAGGAGCTCTGCAGCTGCTTGCTCTATGGTTCCTTGCCATAATAACACCTTTGATTACGACATTGTTAATAAATCTGGCAACCTGTTACAAGTCTCAGCGTGAATAAAGCCGAACAATAGTAATCAATCAACAGAAAATTACTACTTCTAGAAATAAAAACTAATTAAGACCAGAATCCCATTACCTAAAAAACCAAGTCTGGGCTTTATTCCAACCTTTTAGACGTGTTAAAAGATTCCGCAGTTAAAAATAGTTGCTCTAAAATATTCAAATTGTTTTTAGGTCATAGCTAAAATGTTTTACAAACCAATAGTGACAGGCATTTATTGTCGATGTTAACCTTGAAATGTATCCACATATTTATGTTGTCTTAAAATTATCGATAATTTTAAATCAACCCAACTAACGTAACCTAAAATAAGATTTATACGTATCCGTGATTATCATCAAAGTATTTGAGATTAATCACGGATACTATACGATGGAATTGACGATTTAATTCCGCTTTCCCCTTTTCCGTCACCGGAGGACTAGACGTAGGCTTGGGTTCCGGTTGAGTGGACATTCCAAGGACTCGCACGAAGCGTTACGCTTCCACATTTATATGGCGAACAGCTATGGAGTGGTATTCCCTGCCTGCAGACTTATTCCCTGAACGTTATAACTTGTGTTTTCAAGTCGAGAGTGAATAGGCACTATTTCGGTGTGCAGCTCCATCGTCGACCTCATCGTCACTTACCATCTAGTGAGATGGATGTCAGATACGCACTTACATTTTATACAAAAAAACGTTTATAAATTTTTTAGAGTAAAATTTTCAAACTTTTCAATATATCTCGTCATAGTAACTATGAACTGCCTCCGTGGCCGAACGGTTGCCATGCTGGACTGCCACGCAGAGGTCCCGGGTTCGATTCCCGGGACGGAAGATATATTTGTATGGCCTATATTTGATTCTCTTGTGAATTTGGGTGTAATTTGTAGTTGTCTATGTTTGTGTCCATGGTCCCGCGATACAGGGTTTCCCTAGTGCGAAGGTGTGAATGTCCGTTATTATTATTAATATAACAATAAATTCTTTGTTGATTTAAGACATTTTTATTTTTTTATTTAGTTAATAATCACAAAAACATTAACACAATTTTACTTTACACTCTTATACCTAAACAGATATGTATGAGTATTGCAACTCCTATAAATAACAATTTTACGAAATGTAAACATCGTACGAAAAAAAATACACTATGTTGCAAAAAGAACGAGCACTTAATTTATGTTGCTAGATCGATTAAATTATTCTATAATTATTTATTATTTGTTTTGAATGTTGTTCCTTGTTTCACGCGTGAACATTCCAAATGTGAATTTTTAAATTTTAAGGTAAAAGTTCTCCAATTTTTTCAATCAAACGTCAAAAAACGCAGGATTTTTTTTGTTTATTATCGTCAGTTGACATATGAGAATACGTATGACTTGTAAGACAATGTCAGTTGAGTAAATATTCCTTATTTTCACTATTCTATTGATTAAAAGAAGTTTGGCACAAGTAGTGTTCACTTAAATAAGTTTCATTACGACATGGACAACACCATTGTAGCGAGCAAAGTCGTCTCTTCTCGATGAAGGTTGCAACTAACGTTATTATAGCACGGCAGCTTGGAATTTCGCGTTCTAAGGTTCAATTAATTTGGAAGAGTTTCCAAGCGACTGATTCTTTCAGTGAAAAGAAGAAGATCTGGAAGGAAAAGATGTACAGAGCACAGGAATGATACATTCCTTGTCAATCAAGCAGTAAGAAATCGACGAAAATCTTACAAAGACCTAAAATCACCTACAAGAAGTGACAATAGTGAGAGTTGGCAAATGGACTGCCCATCCCACCTTTTTGCATCGCCTCTCTCCATTCGTATCGTATCGTTTTTTCTTCTTCTACTCGTATTTAAATTTAAAATTGTTCCATTTTACCTCGCATTCTGATTTTGTTTTTTTTCCATCGTCACTCTCTGCGCGACCGCGGCAGCGAACGTACCACTATTTATCTTTTTGAATCGTTTACTAGCTATATTTATACAGTTTACATTTTAAAGATTATAATATATTTGTTAAAACCGATTAAATATCTATAAATTGGACTTTCAACGTTTGAATTGCTAGATTTACTAAATAAGATGTTGGAGGCTGCGAGGCTGCGGAGGCTATTACTGCTACCCTTGGACTACTACTTACAAACCACCAGAACGCTCTCAGCACCAGCAGTACCATCACACAGATATACGTTTTCAAAGACCTGCTAGAGGGTCAAAATTACTCCATGGGCATCGCGTCGCAAATAATAAAAACCACTTGATTAAAACCTTGTCCAATGAATCATGATGTTTTTATGTTTACGATTGGAGGTTTTTTATTAGCTTCTATTGTCTCACTGTAGGCTATCCACCCCTTTCTATCTTGCAAAATCGATAGTAAAATTTATCGACACGTATCACTGCACTAGTTAAAACACACGTTAAACATGTGTTCGTATGATTTATCGCGTGCATTAGTTTCTACGGTTATGCTTCCTGGATGTTTAGGAAAACGGATGGCTTTTCGTTAATAGACAAATATGAGTTAAGTTCTTTTGAACCGACTTCAAAAAATGGAGGAAGTTCTCAATTCGATTTTATTCTTCCTGCGCGTATATTATGTAATTACTCGTAGCTACGGCATTTGTGAACCGATTTTGACATCTGCGTGGCAGTCCAGCATGGTAACCGTTCGGCAACGGAGGCACTTATCGTAATAATATTATTATGATAAATTTCAACAATTAGCTACGCATTGCGTTTAATAATTTGTGTTGAATACTTTGTATTTTTATAATTTTTAATTTTAATATATTAGGATAAACAGGTCCTCGTCAATTTGTTAGAATTTTAAACTAGGCTGAATGTACGTAAATCTAAGTCATTTAAGATCTCTCTGCTGTCAAAATTGTGTTTGTACGTTTCGTGTGTTGCCTGCTACAAAAACCGTTAGTTAATCAAGTTTTTTGGTTTTAATTCTAAATTAGAAAAATAAGTAGCAACCAGCCCTTTACACATAACAATTTGGAGTTTCATTTTGGATT